GGGGTTGTGTGAAAAAACAGTGAGAATCTGTGAAATAGTGTAAAGACTGTTTCTTAACTAAAGTTTGATTGTATTATAACTATAGCAGTTGCAATATCAATAGTTACAGATGACACATAAATGCGTATAGTGCTTGAGGCTGATCTCACACCACTTTTATGCCGGAGTAAGGGTAGCTGTTTGAAATGCAACATAACAGGCAAGTTTGAACTAATTTAGCTATAGTGTCAATATTTCAACACTGGCCAAAAACACACTTCACAATTTGATATAGCCATATCCCAAACTGTCCCCCTCAACACCAAGCATTTCTCATTAGAGTCAAGGGAAGAGCATCTAGGTACTCAGAATTTCGAATATCAGGCCTAATTTCCAATGCCTAAATTTGGACTTAAGAACCTAACTTTAGGCTCCTATTTTCAAAAATCTTGGAAATTTTAAACTGCTGTGTTGTTATACTGCAGTTTGACTGAGTTCTGTTCCACTTTGCAACCCTAACTTCAATTTAACAAAGTTTGTTTGTTTTTGTCTGTGAATAATAAAAGAAAGCTTGTCTTTGAATAAAATGTTTTATATTGTTTAAAAATAAACGAAGAACTACATTTTCTAAATAGTATTAATATTTATTATTTATATTATACTAGTGCCTGTAGGCCCCAACCAAAATCAAGTCCCTGTATTGCTAGGTGCTGTATAAACAAAGGAAAAGACAGTTCAGTTCCTGCCCTGAAGAGCTTACAATGTAAATAGACAAGACAAACAAAGGATGGACGATAAAACAGAGGCTTGGAGAGAAGAAGTAATTTGCCAAAATTCACAAAGTAGGCCAGTGGCTGAGCTGGCAGTAGACTCGGGTCAACTGACTCCCAGGTTAGCACCCTAGCCAATAGACCTGAAGCAATAGCTAGCTTTTCGTTAACGATGAGTTTCTGGCTGCAGGAATAATAGAGGAATAGAGTTCATAGTCCAGTATTTTAAAAAATGACTGCCCAGAGCTAAAGGGCACATGTCAGCTTGTTAGCTTTGG